CGACTTGGCGGCGGTCGCCATGGCGAATTCATTGTCACCCCGGATTCTATCTGGGCGCCTCTATTTCCGTCTGACGTCCAACGAATCGGATGTCAGGAGGCACTGCCCACGCGGCTCGTTTATAGGATCGATAAAACGCCTCCTCCTGAATTTCGGATTACCTGGCTCTCGCGTATATCTCGAACGACCGTACGTCGAGTTTGAATCTCGCCACGCTCACGTGCGACAGATAAAAAGAAATCCGCGCGACGCGTCGTCTTCGATAAGGCGCGCTCGCGACGAGAAACGTGTGCTTAAGTTGCGTTTCTTTCTGGCTTGCCTTCTGAAAAGCCGGGCGTCATCGCCGAATGAAATTCGATGCTCGCAGCATCCCGCGTTTTGGCGCGCGATCGAAGAGGAACGCCCACCCCTCTCTCGTTGAATGAACCCTTCCTCTCCCTTTTTTATCGATTTTCAGGACGTCGCGCGCGCGATGGAGGGAAAGAAAAAGAGGGAAAGAGACGGAGAATTTTCCCTCTTTTTTTTTTTTCGATACGCCTCCACTTTATGAGAGGCGCGATGCAGAAACCCGTTCGTTTCGCCTTCGCGGTATCTGGTGATATCGCACGTACATCTATAGGACGAAGAGAATTGCCATATCCGGCAGCAGCGGGATTACTTGGTTACGCGTTGCTACGCTGAGATGCGACATGACGCGACGCTGCACTTCTGTTGCACGACTTGCACGTGAGCCGCATAAAGCCCATTCTACATTAAGCCCATTCTACATAAGACGCAGAATGCTGGTTGCAGGTCGCAAGTGAAACGTATTTCAGATTGTAATAGGCTGCAGACCGCAATACGTAGGACGCAAGACGCAGGACGCGAAAGTTGAAGTTGATCCAACTTTCTGCGTCCTGCGTTCTGCGTCCTACAATCGAATCATATGGTCTGTTTTCTGTTCCTGCACCAGACTGTTCTAGAACTCTCTTTCTCGCTTTAAACAAATATCAAACGTATATCTTTCTGACTTTAAGTTCCAAAAGTGTCAACTAGTTCAGCCACAGAAAACAGACCTATAATTAAAATACGTTAAGGCCATTCTCCATAAGACGCAGAACGCGGGTTGCAGGTCGCAAAACTAGAAACTAACCTAATGTATTTTAATTATGATTCGATTGTAGGACGCAGAACGCAGGACGCAGAAAGTTGGGTGAACTTCAACTTTCGCGACCTGCGTCCTGCGTCCTACGTATTGCGGTTTGCAACCTATTACAATCTGAAGTACGTTTCACTTGCGACCTGCGTCCTGCGTCTTATGTAGGATGGGCTTAATCGCGAGCCGCTACCGATAGTACGAGAGGTTAATTCAAGCTCGAGCCCGCGCGAGTTCGAAAAGCGCGCGGGTGACGGGAAAACGAGCTTCTCTCTCTTCTCGATTCGACGCGTCTTCGTAGGTGGAGCCAGCGACCGCTTCCTTGCCCCGATGGATCACTCTCACTCCGCTATCTCGAGCTATATTTGTATCGATATTACGATAAGTGAGAGAGAGAGAGAGAGAGAGAGAGAGAGAGAGAGAGAGAGAGAGAGAGAGATTATAGATATCGTTATTTACTAGGTGCTTTAGAATTTTTCTCAACATTAAAAATAATACATGATTAAAAAAAATAATAAAAATATAAAGAATATTAAGAATCACATTCAAAAAAGTGATAAAGAATTAACAGAAAACAATAAAAATGAGAAAAACAAATAATAATAAAAAAAAATAGTAAAAGATTTAAACCATAATATAATACAAAAAATAATGTATCACAAATTAATTAGAATTTGTAATTAAGAAATACAAACTCCACTAAGAGAGAGAGAGGGGGGAGGGAGAGAGAGAGAGAGAAAGAGACTAATTTGTATGCACAATTAATGAATTTTATGATATAGGGAAAAAAACGATTTTGCTGTAGTATCTAAAATTTAGCTAAATCTAAAAATAAATTTTATTAGGCCATAAAAGTAATTACGTTGGAATATCAAGCAAGATGAGTAACGCTAACGTTTTGATATTCTAGCAACCAGTTGAGCATTCTACATAATTATTTTGATGGTCCAAATAAAATTATTTTCAAATCTGTATTTAACTAAATTTTTTTTTATATTTTGACAAAACCGTTTGGCGTCCTTTCCTTGTAGCTGAAATAGCAAAATATGGCTTTGATGATATTGAATAATGATAACGATAACGTAAAAAATATTTTTAAAGCTTCTCTAAAAGTCATTTAAAATACGACAAAGATTTATCAAAGATAATAAGAAAATATTAAAAGTAAATATGCATAATCTTAAAAAGATTTTATCTTGTGTATTGACGACTCGAATATCGAATACGATATTAGACTTCAAAAGATAAAATTAATAAATATTCATTTCGCAACAAATATCATCGCGCTGCATTATCAAGAATCGGAAATTTTATAATGTAAACAATTTCTCATTATTACTCAATAATCTGTATTTCACCGATTTGCATAGAAATAATTGATCTTCATATTGTTTGTTAATTTCAAACAAGTAATTTAATGCAAATGAAAAGATGCATGAAAAGATTCCCGAATATATTAGTATATATTTAAAAAATATATCTATTTATATAGAAATTATTATACAAATATTAGTATAAACTAGCATAACGAATTGTCGATTATCTACATCCGACATTAATATTACATTTTAAAATAATTTACTACAACATGATAATTTTTCACGATAAAGACGTAAAATCGGTTTGATAAATATTAATTCATTATTAAGAAAGGTCACATAAATAAATAATATTGAATAAATAGTATTTAATAATTGCACGAAGAAGTGACGACTGTTCTTTCTAACGGGAGTAATCTGATCTTTCAGTTCACGATAACGGAAATATCTAGTCGACATTAACAAGCGTCATTTAAGTCTGACAAATGGGAAGTTGGTGCGTTCCCCGATTCGCGACCCACGTTACATACAAAAGCTACTTCGATTATTCTCTCGACGAGTATCGAACAGATCGGGTTGTCCCATTCAATCGAAACACACTTTCAGCCCTCCCATTCCCTCCTTTCCGCTGCTAAGAATAAAGAGGAAACCCGACATTTTTTTTTTCTTTTTGCGCGAGAGCTAGCCGAATGGAGGTCGTACATGAATAACATCGTACATTTGCTAGCGTAATTTAAAGCGGCACGTGTATCATATATGAGGCGGACACTCGTCACACGCACGGGTCGAACCCGGAGGACGGGGCTAACGGGATTATTAATCGGCAAGTGTCCGCCGAGAGGCGGTTCAGCGGGGTTGAGAACCGCTGGCGCGCGTGCGACGACGCGAAATACGCGCATATACGAGCGCGAGTCGCGAGGATGGGTGCGTTGCCTTACAATCAACTGTGTCAACAGTATTAGAAGCACTCAAGGAACATCGAAAGAGAATGACTTTATTTTCACGTCGTGAAAGTCAAAATGATGATTTTTGGTCATAAAATTTCGAGGGAGTAACCATTAGCTGAAATATTGTCCCACAGATTACATGATTTCATTTGATGACAAATAATTTTCTTCACTATAATGTATAAAGTCATTTGGTACAATAATTGATTTTTATGTAATATCATACAACTATTTCCCATACTTGCATATGTAATTATACATCAGGATTTCATACAAATTTTATAACGATTTCGGGGATTCTATCCCACGATTACATTAAGTGATTACTCTCTCATAAAATTTGACTGTTTATTGACGTTATAAGAACCAAAATGAAGTCATTTTCATTTTTTGTTGACTTTTTTTTTGGCCACTAACATTTTTTAAGGCGCCTCTAGACGACATGGCCAGACGTATTATTAATGCCAACATTAATAAATATTATACACATAAATGACATACATAATTATTCATATCGAATGTAATCAATATTTAGCGAATGTGTGCATAGTTGATCTATACATTGGCCATATCGTCTGGAGGCGCCTTTAATAAAAAGACAACATACTATAAAAATAAAGAAAATGATGAAAAACCAAACAGTTTGTCATTATAAAAAGCATAATTATTATTAAAAAATTAACAAATTTTAGAATCCTATTTTTTATACGGAAGTATAATCTAAAAAATAGAAACGGTTAATAATGACCGTTGGATGCCCAAGCAGAACAAGTCATTATAATATCAAAATGATACCAAAATGATTCCAGAATAATTATTAAAAATCATTTCAATCATTTTAACGTCATTTTAACGTCAGTTTGAAATTACCGTGACTTATTGTTCTGCTTGGGATACCTACTTCTCTAGTATTAACAGTGTTAACGGTGTCATCAGTAACATCTTCAGTCTCTTATTTTTTTTACATTTGGACTTCTCCTCATACTTCAGATTTACATTTCGTTTATGCAATTAATTGTACGGTTCGATGATCATTGCCCGCGTTCGCGAACAGCGTAAAGAAAATTGGCGAGAAGTGGCGTTAACCGCCCTGTACCGGATATCGTTAACGCAGCCGACTGTACGTACTTGCGCGCATACGAAAACTGCGCATTCGTCGTGAACGAATATTCCCGGGGCCGCACGCAAATGCGTCCTTGTACGGACTAATTGCCGCGCGCGCGCGGTCGCATTAATTGCGTGCTCTCTTTTCCACGCTCCAACCTTTTTTGCCCTCCGCTTCCCCCCTCGAGCGCGCACTCGAAATGCCGCCCAATTGCGAGCAATTTGCTCGGCCCACCATGGGTCAACGCTAGATCCGCCATGCCGTTGTCGACGACCGCGAACGGATTCCACTCGAATCGTCGTCACCATCGAATATTCGTGACTAGAATTATTCGCGCCCAATCGAGCGGAGACGCTCCTGCATGCAGGGTGATCTCTTGAAACATGCTTAGGTACTTCCAGGAAAGTCTCTTTGACGTATGAGTTATCGGTCAATTAAACGACGGGCTTACAAAAATAAAATATAGGTCTGTTTTGTATAGAGTGCACTAGAACATTGTTTTTCACTTTCGTTAAATACCAAACATATGTATCTATTTTATTTTAAGTTCTAAAAGTGTAGTACTAGTTCAGCTACAGAAAACAGACCTTGACTTGTATTTTCCCTCTTTCAGTAAAGTTGGAATGCAAAGAACAATGCTCGCAGAAATAGTTATACAGCAGTGATGCGCAACTTGTGGCTTGCATGTGGCCCGTATGTGAATTTTTTGCGACACGCCGATATAGCACAGATCTCCAAGATATGTCCAGAGAACATCCCTCTGAACATCCCAGGATATCTCTTGGATAAAATACGTTGTACGGAAATCAAAAACATAAAATCATTTTCTCTATTTTATGCACATGAAATAAATCAGATTTTTTTCTGTTAATTTTACTTTTTTGGAAAATTAAGAATACTGATTGCACATCACTGGTTTACAAGATCTAAAATATTCTAGAGAGCAGTTTCCGTTGAATTGTTCCTTCGAATGTTCGGCTTGGGCTTCAGTGAGTCAATTTGAAATACTCCGGATGTATTTTGAGATTTAGGGCCGTGGATGCCACGCAGCTCAGCCAGCTGACGAGTTTATTTTTGCTGCAATTATAAAATTATGTCACGATGAATAACGAGAATTATTCAAAAGGGTGTAAAATTCCTTTGATGTAGCTCTCATTTCTTCCCTTAATTTTCCTGCTGTTTCTCACCTCTTTGACATGGTCCGCAACAACCCTTGGGACAGACACGGATGTAATTGCAGGAATGGCGTGCCAACGATAGGATGAATCGCTTGCGATAATTCCGTGTAATTTAATTTGTAACCATGGACCGTTTGAGCCTCATTTACGCTTACTGGGTTAATCCCGGGGAAATCTAAAAAAAAAAAAGAGGGACAAAATGCTGAAAAAAAAAGAATACACGCATCTCACGACAATTGCCTCTTCCCGCAATGATGAATACGTAAAAGGTGATCAGTGTTAATTAATCTAAACGACATGACGCATTTCCGCTCCACCGAAACGCGTTACCGGGATTAATTAATACCGTCGACATATCTGCGCGAATATTGAAATAGTCGGACACGTTTGCGTTTATAATCAATAAAACGATGCATGCGAGGCAGGGTAGCACCAATGTACAGTATAGCCGACAACCGCAAATTTCAAGCTGTGCATATTCCCATAAACGAAATTTCGAGGAAGTGCCCCATGCCGCGTCCTTTCAGAAAACCTTTAACTTTATTTTTATGGTATAAGTCTTCTTTTCTACGAATCTCTTTCTATGAAGGTAATGGATTTTTTTCAAATATTTTACAAGTCAGCTGTCGTTTGGGATTACCTGATTTCCAGCCATTGAAGAAGAGAACTGGGACGCTATAGCTAATAGACCACAGAACGTGATGCTCGATGATAAAAGGCGTTTCACTTGTGGAAACAGCCTCGTGCGGATCTTGTCGAAATCTCACGTGGAACTCCTCGGTATCGTTCTCGTCGTCGGTCGAGCAGTCCTTTCTTGCGATCGTGTCGCTTGGAACGAAGCACTTGGCTCTTCTAACTAGATAAGCTTGTCCAGGAAGATCCTAAATATTATGGATACAAACATGAAAATTATAATGTTAAATGTCGTTCGGTACTCAATCCAAGGAACACACAAAAGTCAACTCAAAGAATCAAAATTAATTTATTTTGATTATTAATATTAATAAACAGTCAAACTTTGATGTCATCATTTTGGCTTTTGGCAAAATAAAGTTATTCTTGATGTGTTCTTTGGGAAGTAGAACAAAAAGTTATGATAATATCAAAATGGCTCCGAAATAATTATTAAAAATTACTTTTCTAATAAAAAATGTTATTTTAACGTTATCATAACCTGTTGTTCTGCTTATATAGAAAAAAACGGTTTTACTGAAGCATCTAAAAATTTAGTTAAATCTAAAAATAATTTTGTTGAAAATATCAAAATTTTTTGCAAATCGCTTATTACATTTACGCGTCTTGTATGATTATTTTAATAATCCAACAAAATCATATTCAGATCTACATATGTTTTTGTCTTAAATAAGCGATGACGCTGTGGATATGCAATAGATATTTTTAAATAATTATTAATAACTTTAACTTCTCCTAAAAGAGCTCGCAAAGGATATCACATTTTGAGTGTTTGTCTTACAAAATTGTACAACTTAAAAATTGTAAAATTTTAAAATGCTACTCGATTTGTGAAATTTTTACAAAGTTTTATATTTCGTATGTTTATACAATAAACAGGGGATGAATAGACTATATAATTGCAAAATCCATTAATAATGTTAATCGAATGATTCAATTTGCATATTTTATGCGTCCGTTCGATCTGCACGTAATTCGCGCGAATAAGTGACTCGATGGTACACGATGTACCTTGTCCCCGTGGAACTCCCATCCGTCCGATATCTTGTCTGAAACAACAAGAAACCTTTCTGCATTCTCGAGGAATTCCTCCCATGTAACCGTGCCTGGGCCGTCCATTGGTACGAGTCTAAACATCGAGAAATTTATTCTGACAGACGTACTTAGAAAGGTACATAAATGCTCGACAACGACAAAGGACCGCGATTATTACGTTAAACACTTTCGCACGTTTAGTTCGCGAATTTCGAGACGGGTGCCTCATGATTAATTTTCCACAGTTCTCATCGGTTAACGTTGCCTCGCGCAATTTATCCCGAGTTCCGTCGCTCGAACGAGCAACGAAAGAGAAAGAGAGAGAGAAAAAAAGATAGAAAGAGAAAGAGAGAAAGCCATGACAGAATTATAGAAGATTTCGTCTAATTTTGCGTAGCGACGTACGAGTCGCAACGTCGATCGTATGATAAAATTGAAAAAGGGGGAAGCGGTTCACCCGAGAGAACAGCGTGCCTCCTCTCGTTCCCCCTCCCCTGCCCGATATGCCGCTACCTTCTCGCCAAACTCTCTATCGCGTCAATTGTCGACTATTTCGCGTCGGGCACGTCCGCCGACGTTCGGGCATAATCGGGTCCTCGCATCGCGCTTCACTTCCCCGCGTCCCGATCGCTCAACCCTCCCCGCGTCCTCCTACCCGCTCCAGGGATTGTCGACGTACGCACGCCGATAGTACTTGCTGGTGTGTGCACACCGGCGTACTAGGGCCTTGCGTGTTTGCGTGTGTCCGTGCATCGGCCGGCGACCAATCGGACGCGGAGTTGCAGCCAGTGGCGTACCACGAGCGGGCGCGAGAGCGAGAGTCGTGCGCCCTTTTTCCACCCCCTTCGCCTACCATCCTGCCGCGCGAGTCCTTTTTAGGACAGCTTCGTCCTTTATTCGACAACGTGCTGTCGGCGTGTCATCGCGCGGAATAGAATTTCTCGCTTGTTTTACGCCTGCGCCCTTTATCGCAAATTCGAAGTATCGACCTATCCCAATATCGCGTATAGCGCGTTTTTTTTTAACAATAATGATATTCCATACGACAAGCTGCGACAAAGCCGACGATATGTCGCTCGTTGGCGCTTCATTGACGACGACGACGACGATGATGATTCGCAAAGATTCCGCTTACACGGGAAGTATCTCGGCGCGCGGAAAACGCGCGCTCCGCCAATCCGCTCGGCGGCTCTCCAGTCTCCGCTCGACGAGATAGCACGCTTTATTTACCTCGACAGCCGATGTGTATTACCGTTGTCAATAACATGGCCGAGACTAACGACGCAAGGCCGGCAGGAGATAAAATATTGTAATTTACTAATTTGTAAAAATTATTGTAAAAATATTGTAATTATATTCTGTCGCGCAAAAAATAAGATAATAAACTGTCGCATGGGCTAACAATGCATGTTAATGTCACAAGAAAACGAAAGAATCTATCTAATGTCAGAAAAAGTGATTATTACAAGCTTGACAAGTTGCTGATATTTCATATATTAATTTATAATATTTGTAACGATTTCAGGCAAATATAATTTTTTGCAGCGTAATACATTTTCGAAAATTCAAATCCAATGCAAAGCCTGACCAGACCTTTTTAGTTCAGGTATCAGGATTCTTAATTCTTCCTGTGTCGACTTTCAAAGAAATGAATGCTACTTGTTAGAAAACTTTCTCTGCAGGACAATGTACGAAAAATCAGGTAGCGCCAGAATATCTTCAGACAAAAAATACCCTTGAAGACAAAATAAAATCTTGTCAATTGAATTTTTCAACCGTAGCAAAAAGGTTCGTCTTTCCGTTGGATTTAAAATCTAATAACACAAATCTAAATGGAAGTTAATATAAACTCAAAATAGAATCGGAATCAGTTGTATTCTCTGCGTATATGACATATTTTCGATGAATATTTCCGCGAAAATGCGATAGCAACAAGGACGATTACGTCGAGAAGATTACGCATAAAGGAAAGAAACGGTTGTTAAAGCAATCTCGAATAAACAATTTTTTCAAATTACGACCTATATATGAAACGTTTTTCTGCTGCGTTCAGCAGAAAAAGCAGTTGTGTAAGATAGCATATGTATCTAAAAAAATGTAAGATTGCATTTAAATATTCATTTGAAATTAAAATGAAAGTACCGATTTTCTTTTAGACTAGAAAAATATAATTAAAAAGAGTGATTATATTACGCAAAAGTTATGTTTTGCAGCTGCGATAAAATTCTTTAATATTTAACCTTTAAATTCTTTGGAGTAAAATCTCATTCTAAAGAATGAAAATTGAGTTTTGAAAAACAGTGAGATTCACTTAAAAATTTTTAGAGGATATAAATACATTTAATCCAATGAGGAACTAAAGACAGGAGCCAGTCATAAAGAATCTTACGACAGTTGCAAAACTACTTTTTCTGCTAAACGCAGCTACTTGTTCGTATCGACGATACATGTTCGTTTATTTTACCAATGCAGTTTAATTTTAATCCGGTTCCACTAACTCTTCATCTTTTTCCAGTTCTTCGAATGAAAAAAAAGATAAAGAGTAAATTGAACTGAGATTATAGTTAATCTACATTGGTAGAAACGGACAACACAGAAAATCATCACGCAACCACGTAGAGGGCTTCGTTCGCCCCTCCGTTTTTCAAGCCACTCGTAACGGCACTGGCATAACAAGCGGCGATGCGCGCGCACCGTTCCCGGCCGGTGCGAGGGACGAGGACGGCGCATCGATACTGCGAGAGATCGAGCGATAGAGGCGGAGGGGGGGAACGGTGTGAAGGGAGCGGCGAGCGGCGAGCGAGCGAGACAGAGCGTAACGAAGGTAGGCACGGAGCGAGCGAGGGAGAAAAGCGAGGGACGCGGGGCGACGGAGTATTACTCCGCCGACTCATCTGCGTGTAGTCGTGCAGCGCGTGCGAAATCCACGAGTCACACTTCCGAACTTGCTCGTGTTTACACGACAGTAAGTTCAATCCGCTCCCACTCTCCGTCCCTCGTTTCCCGGCTTCGTTCCATCTCTCGCATCGCCGTGTCGCGTCTCTTCTAGCGGGCTGCTAGCGGGCTGTGCGGACTTGCGGAGCGTGCGTGTGCGTGTACGTTAGTCGTGCGTGCGCGCGTACCTTGGTGCGTGTATACGTGCGGTGGAAGTTTACGTGTGCGTATACATGTGCGCGCGCGCACGGGGCACGTATGCGTTATGTACATCGTGCGGCCGCAGTGATACACCGTTCCCGTGTTGCGAGACGCTTTCGGGCTGAGAGCGCGCGCGACAAAGCGAGATTCGCCGGAGGACGAGAGCCGCGTCCGGCGGCGGCAACGACGAGGACGACGAGCGGGTTGTTCGTCTTTGATACGCAACGACGAGTACCGAGTATACGAGGCGACCCCCGACAGTCACAGTGACTAGCGAGCGAGCGTATAGAGTGAAGTGAGCTGACGACAACGACGACAACAACGTCGGTAACGATCGCGATCCAAGACAATAGGACGGCGTCGCGTTCGAGCGGTAATTCGTGAAGGCACGATACCGGAAAGACTGCGAGGTTGCAGGAAGGAAGTCGTAGAAGAAACGATGAGGACTTGGACGGCGGCGGCGACAGCGACAGTGCTGGCGACGACGACGAGGCGCCCCCAGCGACGCACCTGAACCAACCGCTGACGATTACGACGACGACGACGACGTCGTGATGCGTCGCACCGTGTCGCTCCAGTATCGCGCAGCAGCAGGCACCTCGCTCCAGTTGTGACGCGACGTGTTCGTGACGTGACGCGACGAAAGCGGGACGGAGAAGACCTTCTTCTTGTCGGCGCGCGAGCGAGCGAGCAAGACGGGGAGGTGGTGAGGAAGAGAGAGAGAGAGAGAGAGAGAGAGAGAGAAAGAGAGAGTGAGACGGAAACACCTCCCGCGAGACTCCTTTCTGTGCTGCAGCGAGCGGGAAAGAGACGGACTGTAAACTGAAAGAGCGTGTGGCGTGCGCGCGCGCGCGCGCGTGGTGCGTGTGTGTGATCTGTGTACATGATCTGTGTACGTGCACCTTTTCCTCGGGGTCGCGTTTCGTTTGACACGACGTCGCACGTCGACGACGTAAGCACGCCGAGCGATTACCGTTCGCCGTTCGCTCTCGGGTGAAGCGAGACAGACGCCGCACACGTATACAACAAACGGGGAATCGCGCGTAGCGCGACCGCGAGACTCGACGAGAGAGTCTCCCGATATCTCCCGTATACTTTTTAACTCCACTCCAGCCGTCCAGCGCGGCTATACGAAGGAACGGCGGCGCACTTGTGTTTACGCTAGAAGCATTGACCGGCCACCACGGCGACCATGTACGCGAAGGGAAAAGGGTCGGCGGTGCCCTCGGACTCTCAGGCGAGGGAAAAGTACGTATCGTATCGTTCAGCGAGAATTGAAGGAGAGCGAGAGAGAGAGAGAGAGCGAGAGAGAGAGAGAGAGAGAGAGCGAAAGCGAGAGAAAGAGAGAGAGAGAGAGGAGAAAAATAAAAATTATTGGCGTTCCGTTGTGAAAATTCCGACCGGCCATTGATCGCTCGGTATAACTCCATTTTTCTCGGGCATCCTCTTGCCTCCCGCCCTCCCCCTTCCACCCCTCCCGCCACCCCTCTGCGCGCCCGGAGACCCCGCTCGCTCTATCCGCGCGGGCTCTTCCCCCTCTACGCTCCCTCCATCACCCCCTTCGTCGTCTCGCCGGTTCTTTTTGCTTCGAGCGTGTGCGTCGCGTGTACATCGCGACTGGAGAACCCGGTTCGTCGGGTTAATCCAGTTTACCTACCGATGGCCGATGAGCCATTCGTTTGTTCTTCTCTCTTCTCTCGCTTTCCTCTTTTGTATGTTTCTCTCGTTCGCGAACGTATGTACGCGATGATGCTCCCTTGCTTGCCTCCCCTTTCCTCTCTCATATCCGCCCTCCTCCTCCTCCCCCCCCCC